CAACGGAGGTGTCGGAGGTGCCATCGGTAGCGCCATCAACTCTGGTGTCGGCGGCTTCTCCAGCGTCTTCATCGACGGAGGAAGCTCGGTGTTCAACGATGTCACCAGCTTTGGTGGAGGAGTCGCTACCACCCTGACCAGCGGTGCCGTGGTCGCATTCGAAACCTTGACTTGTAAGTAGAGCTCAGGTAGCTCCCTGTGTGTCTGCGAGGTGATGCGCATGCGTATAGACCCTCTGAACAGCCTTTGCTAATCACATTCCTATGTCTGTCGACCTCTCTGTTGGTAGCTGGAGGGGAAGGTGTCTTCCGCAGTGAGTACAGCCTAGGAATATCGTGTGATGCACATGGCCTCGGTCTGACTCAAGCACCGCATTGCTCTCGTTGAACAGCCGTCACCTCTGGAGGTGCTGGTGCTTTCACGACGCTCACTTCGGATGGCGAGAGATACGTCGGAACGCTCACAAGCGGCGCTGCTGGAGCTGCAAACACCGTCGCTAGCGGAGCGACCGGAGGACGCGATGCGGCTTTTGCCGTGCAGGCACCCTCCATGCTCGCCCCCGTCGTTTTGGCCGCCGCAGCTGTGGCTGGAGCAGGAGCTGTATTGCTCTAAATCAACGCTCCGATCGCTGCACTACACCTCCCACCCTCCACACTAAACGTCTCAGGACTTCAATACTCGGCTTCTGCACTTGTTTCGGCTACCCCCGAGGGTGGATGCTGACGACAAGCTACGACATCCGCTCGCCCGCGGTGCCCCATTCAATTCAAGATCGTTGAATGCACCCGCTCAGCGCTTACTTTTAATTGATCACGCACATTCAGACTCAAGACTGCTCTCTGGCTTCTCTGTTGTATCTGCATTCGACATCCAACTTTCCACGCACGATCAATGAAATCACCTTCAACTTTTGAGTCAACAACACTTCTTTCTTTGCACCCCTTGCAAAGCACCGCGTGATCGAGAGGTGTGAGCAACTTTCTTGCTCTGATGATCAATGTGCCTCTATGCTCTCTGGAGAGCACGCGGTACTCAAAGACTCTAGGATATCTTGAGTCGTGATTCAAAAGTTGTTCAAATTGAATTGATTCGAGATTCATCAGAAGTGATGGACACATGAGCGCGGTCTTGCGGGATCGACTCAGGAATCACTGAATTCCATTTGCCTCGGGCTACGGCCGGGCCGTTTCACGTACTCGCGCGCTCTCATCATACACTCGCGTCGCGCGCCACGGCCGCTACGTATAGGTACGCGTCCGACACGGGCCTCCTTTCGAGGTTTTGGCCGGTGGATTAGCCTCCATGCCGGTACGTACCTCAAGCGCAGTGAAGTGGGTCTGCGTTCTGCGTTCATGCAATCTTGAATAGGGAAGGGAGAATCCGTCTGAGGTGCAGATCGAGTGGCCCCCCCCTACCTGGTCCCTTGGACTCTCTGACTCTTGAGTGATGCCGCACGTTTGTTGGCGTGCCGGTCGACAGATGTCACTTGCCCAACTCACGACTTGTCGCAGCGGTTGCAGCGCTTGATTGCCCCGCTACCATGGGTCATGCATGCTGCTGATCACGAGCACGACTCAACACTCACGACTTAATTGCATTCACGATTCTTGATTCAGTGATTTCAGATCATGAGTTCACGACTTTGCTGACTCTCCATTCTGATTCTTGATTCAGATTGCATATACTGAGTCACTCACACTCGTGACTGATTGCACGAGCGCGTCTCGCGTGATCGGACAACATGCAATCACGGAATTGAGGCGCGAAGGGTGGCGACGAGTAATAATATTCGGAACCCGCGTCTTCTTTATTCGGATGCATACGGCTCTAAGGGCTGCACGCTTCATTATTCCACGTGGTTACGGCACATACAGCTGTACAGTGTGTATGCTTTTTCGCATCCTTGCAAAGTCAGCTCATGA